AGAGAGAGAGAGAGAGAGAGAGAGAGAGACAGCTCCAGGGCTTTACCTGACTCTGAAGCGCCGGTCACTGTTCACAGTCTCCCCGAGTTTTCTCCATCCTTTACTGTTTGCTTTATCAAGAGCCTCAGCCAGTCTTTTTAACACGGATTCTTTTAGAAAATTGATATTCAGTGAGCTGTCATACGAATCCTGGGCCATTGTGTAAATCAGGAGCGTTATATGGTTTGGAAAAACAGAAGCTCTTAGATGCTGGGGCCTGAAGGTTTACTGCACTCTGTGACTTCACTGCACTCAGCTAAGGACGGAAACGACTCGGTGTGTACTTTATCCTAAGATGACGGAAAAAATGTCAAACACATCTTAAACGCAAAACCGAAAAGACCAGCCATTGGTCGAGCTATGAACGAGTTGGTTTTACAGAACACAATCACCCGAAACTAGTCCGAGAAAAGGGAAAACAAAACGCCTAACCCTGCTACACATTAGCAGTCTACAGGTGAAACACTGCTGCTGTTTGCTTGCACGGGTCGAGGTGGGGAAATCCACTTCGCCTCAGAACATGGCACAGTCCCAAATAGCTCGCTATTCGGCATAAGGGTGCACTACCTAGGCTGCAGAAACCATTATTCCATACCCTTCGTAGTACACTTCTATAGAAACTAAGCAACCGTTTGTGATTGAGCCTCTGTATGCGTGTTAAATTTCCACTTCCTGATCTTTGACTCTCTGACGAAGGTGCATCTCTACTCAAGCCCCAGGATCCTTCAAACACTAGATATGAATAAAGCATAAAAGACTAAAGAACTCTATGTATTTTAAAGCAATTAATATTTTAATACATGTTTTATATTAAGCATAGGGGAATACTACTCATCATATGGGTTACACTTAACATCTATAACTTTCTAAAAACTTTGTCAATATTTCTCAAAATAATTTGTTTCCCGCCTCAAGTTTGTGGGCGTTACTAATTTGCATATTCATAGAATCAGTATAGAATCAGAGATAAATAAGCAATTAAACTAAGCTGATTAATAATATATGCTAAGAAGGAAGTATAATGGAATAGAGATATGAAAGAATAGGTACATAAATTTATGCATGATTGTACAGATGATACAACTTTATAATGACCCTGCTGAAAACTACGGCTCGGTCTGACTGGTTACCAGCTGCCAAAACACAGGCCGAACTGGTCAAACTGGTGCAGCCGAGGAGCGAAATTTCACATACACTTAAGCTATAGACCAGGGGTTTCCAATCCTCTCCGGAAAGGGCTGATGCATGTGCAGGTTTTCATTCCAACCAAGCAGAAGCCACACCTGAGTCTACTGAAAGCCAAGCTCAGCTGATCATACAGGTGGAATCAGGTGTGGCTCCTGCTTGATTGGAATGAAAACCTGCACCCACACCGGCCCTGTGTGGATAAGATTGGACACCCCTGCTATAGACATACAATCTTAGTTTTCACAACTCCACACACTTCATACTATATACACTTTGTTTGGCAAGTAAATTAGAGCATCTACTTTGTTCACAAGCCATTTTAAAACAATCAATTAGAGACAGATTTATTTTAGCTTTAAATCACTATATCAGAATCAGTGGGTCAGAAGTTTA